CCTCTGCCTAGTTTGTAACAGGCCACTAGACCCCCCCTCAGCCTTCTCTTGTGGAGGCTGAACAGGTTCAGGTCCCTTAGCCTCTCCCCATAGGGCCTGCCCTGCTGCCCCCTGATCATGCAAGTGACCCTCCTCTGGACCCTCTCAATGCTGTCCACATCCCTCTTGAAGTGCGGCACCCAGAACTGGATGCAGTACTCCAACTGCGGCCTGACCAGTGTTGCATAGAGGGGGAGGATCACCTCCTTGGACCTGCTCGAGATGCATCTGTGGATGCATGACAAGGTGTGGTTGGCCTTCCTGACCGCGTCCCCACACTCTCGGCCCATGTTTATTTTGGCATCAATAATGACTCCAAGATCCTTTTCTACCTCTGCACTGATGAGAAGGGAGTTCCCCAGCCTGTAGGTATGCTGCTGGTTCTTCCTCCCCAGGTGCAGTACCTTGCACTGGTCAGTGTTGAAACCCATCCTGTTCTCATCCGCCCACCCCTGTAACCTGTCCAGGTCCAATTGCAGCCTATTCCTTCCTTCTAGTGTGCCCCCTTCTCCCCACATCTTAGTGTCATCTGCGAATTTGAACAGGGTACTTTTTACCCCTTTATCCAAGTCATTGATGAAGATGTTGAACAGTGCGGGCCCAAGAATGGAGCCCTGGGGGACCCCACTGCCCACATCCCTCCAGGTCAAATAAGACCTGTCCACCACCACTCTCTGGGTGCGGCCCTCCAGGCATCTGGCTGTAGGTATCGATGCCACAGTCTCCTAGTTTTTTTTAATGAGGATGGGGTGAGAGTCAGTGTCAAAGGCCTTCCTAAAGTCCAGAAAGACTATGTTCACCACGACACCTGCGTCCAAGGATTTTGTGACCTGCTCATAGAAGGCCACCAGGTTGGTCTGACAGGACCTGCCTCTAATGAACCCATGTTGGTTGCCCCTAAGCATAATCTCCCCTGCTGGCCCCTCGCGGACATGCGCCAGGATAATTCTCTCAAAAAGTTTACCCAGGACCGAGGTAAGACTAACTGGCCTATAGTTTTCTAGGTCCCCCTTCCTCCCTTTTTTGAAAATGTGAACCACATTGGCCCTTTTCCAGTCCTCTGGCACAACGCCAGAACATCATGGGTGCTCATAAAGCTGTGCCAGGGGTTATGCAACCATAGAAGGCAATCAGGTTGGTCGTCAAGCATGACTTGCCCTTGGTGAATCCATGCTGATTGTCCCTAATCACCTTCTCCTCCAAGTGCTTAGAAATATATTCCTTGAGGATCTGCTCCATGATTTTTCCAGGAACTGAGGTTAGGCAACCAGTCTGTAGTTCTCTGGATTCTCTTTTTACCCTCTCTTAAATATGGGCACTATATTTGCCCTTTTCCAATCATCCATGACCTCTCCCGATCACTTATGAGTTTTCCAAGAGGATGGCCAGTGGCTCTGCAATCACATTGGTCAACTCCCTCAGCACCCTTGGCTGCATCCTGTCCAGGCCCATGGAGTTGTATATGTCCAGCTTTTCTAAATAATCCCTAGCCTGTTCTTTTTGCCACAGTTGGCTGCTCACTGCGCCTCCTCCCCAAACTATGTTGGCGGGCGCAGTAGTCTGAGAGCTGACCTTGCCTGTGAAGACTGAGGTGAAGAAGGTATCAAGTACTACAGCCTTTTCTGCATCCTCTGTCACTAGGTTGCCACCCCCATTCAGTAAGGGACCAACACTTTCCCTGATTTTCTGTTGCTGACATACTTGTAGAAATCTGTTTTGTTACCCTTCAAATCCCTTGCTAGCTGCAACTCCAATTGTGCTTTGGCTTTCCTCATTTCACCCCTGCGTGCCCGAGCAATACTCTTATACTCCTCCCTAGTTGTTTGTCCAAGTTTCCACTTCTTATTATAAACTTCCTTTCTGTGATTTAGTTTACTAAAGAGTTCTCTGCTAAACCATACTGGTCTTCTGCCATACTTGCTAGTCTTCCTGCAGTCAGGATGGTTTGTTCCTGCACTCTCAGTAAGGATTCTTTAAAGTACAGCAAGCTCTCCTGGACTTCTCTCTCCTTCAGACTGGCTTCCCAGTGGATCCTGCCCATGATTTCCCTGAGCAAGTCAAAGTCTGCTTTATGAAGTCCAGGGTCCTTACTCTGCTGCTCTCTTTCCTTCGTTTCCTCAGTATCCCAAACTCAATCATCTTGTGGTCGCTGCTGCCCAAGTTGCCATCCACTACTACGTTCCCCACTAGTTTTTCCCTGTTTGTGAGCAGCAGGTCAAGAAGAGCATGGCCCTTAGCTGGCCACTCCAGCACTTAAACCAAGAAGTTGTCCTGAATACTCTCCAAAAACTTCCTGGATTGCCTGCACACTGCTGAATTGCCTTCCCAGCAGATGTCAGGGTGAAGTCCCCCATGAGAGCCGGGGCCTGTGATCAGGAAACTTCCCCTAGCCATTATGGGAAACCTTCTAGTAAAGTACTGTGTGCTCTTCTGGCGAGCACACTTAATGAAGGATATGAGGATATGGCAGGACTGGCAGTGCCACCAAAATGATGCATTTGCTGGAAAGCAAACTTTACTCTTTAAGGCTTAAAAAGGTCAGTCATTCAGTTAACTGAAGGCAAAGTTGAGCAGTACCTTGATCAGTTTTAAGGACCTAAGGATAAACACTTAAGCCCAATACAAGTCCAGTTCAGTATACAGATAACTGGATTAAACTGAATAGCCTGTAACATGGAAGGCAAGTCTCTGTGTGTGAGCTCACCTCTTTTTTAACTCTCAAAAACTATAACATTAAACAATTAATAAACTCATTGCTTGCACATACTCCCACTTTAGTGAGTTGTGCCCTTTTTCTTATATCTACGCTTTCTTTCACTCAATAAATACTAACAAACAATATTGTTTACTCCATGAAGTCATTGCATCATTTTCAAAGGACATCCATGTAATTTTTATGTGTAGTTCTCTAGCTACATACACATGATTAAGACAGTGAATATTCTCTTAAATTACTGCTCCAGAGGTTGAAAAAAGTCAATTACTAAACACAGTTGGTCTTATTGAATCTCACACAGTGTATTCTTCAGAGAAATGTTAAGAGTCCATAGAGAGGTAATTTTCTTGGAACAGGAAGCAACAAGCAATATAGTAATTCATCAGAAAAATCTTCAGAGAGCTTTAAAGTTTCTGAACAGATTTATTGAAAACTGGGTATGCATCTGGGGAAATACATATTGTCTCCAAGAAGAGAAGAATAAAATAATGAATGGAACAGGCTCTCTTACTTTTCCCTTCCAAAGATGGCAGAAGCTTTTAGAAACCATGACTTGCACAGAAATGTTTCTAAGTAGTTCTAGCTCTCCTGAAACACCCTTTTGACTACAGCAGGGGCACTCGATCCCACCTTCAGACCCAACTCTCTTTCTGTTAGAGGAAAAAATAAGGGTAGAAGAGGATGAGGCCAAAGCCATGAATGATTTGTTGTGAAAGTCTAGCTTCGGAAAAGTGGCAGCAGATCCCTTCAGCCTGTTGAAACAGTACAAGAGGAAACATCCAGAATTCATTGAATAGATCTATTTTAAGACTGTTCTATGGTGGATACCAGAGAGACTACTTCTGGATTAGGCTGGCAAAAATGATTGATTTATTTAGGCAATGAAAGCAGGATATAATTCAAAGAGCTGGAAATCCCTGAATTTAACTGCATCCAAGGTTTACCTTCTG